GTGTGACAGTGACCTACTGACACTTCACTTGCTGGGGGAGAAGGGAGGGGTAAGCGTAGGGGCTAAACGCAGGTGCCGGGGCTGATCCCGCTAACGCTGCGTTTTTGGGGACACTATACTAATGTGAACGCTGGTATAGTGCTGATCTGATCAAAGATATTGATCCGTTCAGACACTATACTAGCAATGGAGGTTTATTGTGCAGCGTGCTCCTGCCAATCAAGGGGTTAAATGTGATGACTGGTGTACTGACTGACAATCTGACGCTATCTGGGAGGGGCGTGAAAACCACGGGAGCGCATATTGTGTGTGTGTGTGTGTGTGTGTGTGTGTGTGTGTGTGTGTGTGTGTGTGTATATATATATATATATATATATATATATAGTGATTTAGCACACCCATGCCGCCCTGTAGCAGTATTTCTGCTATAGGGCGGTCAGGAAGCAGTTACAGAAGGGGTTTGTGTTACATCGATGCGTTACTTTAACTGACAATTGCGCGGTCATGCAACACTGCACCCAAATTAAATTTACATCCTTTTTTACCCACAAATTGAGCTTTCTTTCGGTGGTATTTGATCGCCTGTGGGTTTTTCATTTTTTGCGCTATAAAAAAAAAAGGCTGACAATTTTGAGAAAAAAAACGATATTTTGGACTTTTTGCTATAAAACATGTCCAGTAAAAAATGTAAAAATCAAATTTCGTCATAAATTTTAGCCAAAATGTATTCTGCGACATGTCTTTGCTAAAAAAAAAATCCAAATACGTGCAAATTAATTGGTTTACGTGAACGTTATAACGTCTACAAATAGCGGGAAAGATATGGGATTTTTTTTTTTATTCTAATAATGGCGGCGATCAGCGACTTATGGCAGTGATTAGTGACTTATGGCAGGACTGCAGGACTGAGGCGGACATTTTGACACTGGGGGGGAACTGACTTGGGGTCACTGACATCCCCAGCGACACCAATACAGTGATCAGTGCAAAAAAAAAAACACTGACACTGTACTATTGGCACTGGGGAGGAAGGGGTTAACTTTTTTTTTTTAGGCAATGAAAGGGTGTGAGGGGAGTGTTTTTACTAGGGGGGGGGAGGGCCCTGCTTGATAGACAACCGCTTGAAGCCCTGTTGGGTAAGCAGCCGTATGACTTTTCTAAGACAGAATTCCTCTTGCTCTCCTTTAATTTGTTTTATTTTACTCTCTTGAATGTATTTTACTGTTATTATGTTACTGAACTCTTTATACCATGTGCAATGAACAAAACTTGCTTTAGCTTCTCGTATTTTGCAAAAGTTTAATAAGAATATTAATAAAGGAAATGCTGACTATTGTAAGCACCCAATGTCGGTGCTAAAGCAGAACTACACTGCATCTGAGCACCACAAACCAAAAACACTATTTAACTAATTTTTAATATTCAAGGCCATCTCACCCATCTGTTTATGTCTCCATGCTTTATTTTGTTGAGACATCACTTTGAACCCCTCGCACCCCCCCCCCCCACCATGTGACCATCTTGAGTAAGGGAAGATGATTCATGTAGCATTTACTTCCTGGAATCCATCTTCCCTTAGCTCAGGCATGCGGAAAGGTGGGTGTGCTTACCGAAGAAAACCCCTCCTCCCCTCTTCCTCTCCTGAAGACTAGTGGGATGTTTGACATCATTTGCTTAGGCCTGAAAATCAGGAAGACACTGAAGAAAATAAAAATACTTGTTTAAAATAAAAACCCTCTAACTGCTCCTTTTGCTGAACTGCGTGACCTGTTTAAGGAATCTGAAAAGTAACAGACTTACTCTCTGGCTCATAATAATGGCAAAATGCTAAAAAAAAAAAAAGAAAAACAAAGCAAGCACCACATCTAAGAATTGGTAATCTGTTTACATTTTGTTTTTGGGTTTAATACCACTTTAGGACATATGAAGCAGATAAAAATATCATTTTGGCTTCCTGCTTTGGAGACAAAATTTAGCTCAGGCTTTAGAACAGAGGTGTCACTCAATTTAATTCGGGGCCACATTAGTATTATGGTTGGCCTCAATGGGCTAGTTGTATCTGTAAGGCTAGATGTCCAGAGCACCCCACGCACCCTTACATCAGATGTCAAGAGCCCCCCACCTATACATCACAGTGCACCCCCCTTACCTTATGCTGCTGCTGATAAGCTGGGGGTGAAGCTGGGAAGCAGAAATTGCAGGTTCTGGAGGAGGACCAGAGGAGGGCTGAAGTCAGCTGTCAGAAGAGTTCTGACTTCCTTTCTGCTGCCAATTGCTGAGACAAGGTGGGGGCAGAAAACAAGGATGATGTAGATGCAGGAGAGGAGCAAGGGCCACATAATATGGCCTGGTCGGAGCTGCACAGCACGCTCCCAGCACAAAGATCGGGGTGTCAGTTAGAGCCCGGGTCCCGTTCTAATGATCAGGACCCAGAACTCCCGATTCTGGGTCACATGTTTGCTGTGAAAGCCTCTGATTGGATATCACAGTGACCATACTTTGTATCTCTCTCTATCTTTTCAGTTAAAAAAAAAGTGTAAAAAATTCAAATTAAAAAATCGAATTAAATTAGGGTCAGGATTTTTTTTTTAACTTTTAAATTAGTATCAGTGTCCGTTAGTGGCAGGATAAAAAAAAAAAAGCAAAATGCGCCATACTACAAACAACAACTGACATATGTGGTATCGCTGCGATCATCAGGAGCAGGAGAAATTTATTGTGGGTTGTTCTTTGGTGGTTTGTTATGGTAGTAGCAAGAAATTTACAACTAAATTAAGAAAAAAATTATTTTTTGTTTACTGTTTTGGGTCAGTTTTCCTTTTAATAATAAAAAAAAATCAGGAGATATCCATTAACATTTACCGCCAAATGAAAACCCAATTTGTCCTGAAAAAAACAAGGTATAATCCACCCCGATGCACAAAGTAGTTGTGAGTTGTAAAGTTTTGCTAACACACAGTTGCAAAGCTGTGCTTAGGCTTTAAGATTTGTTTTACCGCTATGCGTGAAGGGGTTAATAAGAATTCTGGTTAGTTGTTCATTTATGAAGAAAGAAGGCACTCATATTATGAGAATGTGTTACTGAAAAAAGAGATTGATAACAGATTTACCACTTGCCCTCTGGAAGATTTACCGTCCTTCCTGACCAAGCCATTTTTTTCCTATTCAGCCTTTTTTTCAAACAAATAGTTTTCCTTTGGTGGTATTTGATCACCAATGGGATTTTTATTTTTTGTGATATAAACAAAAAAAGTAAAAATTTTGAAAAAACCCGAAACTTTCTACTTTCTGTTATAATAAAATATCCAATAAACACACATTTCCTCATAAACTTAGGCCAAAATGTATTCTGTGGCATGTATTTGGTAAAAAAAATTCCAATAAGTGTATATTAATTGGTTTGCGTGAAAGTTATGTCTACAAACTAAGGTGTGTATATATATTGGAATTTACGCAGCTTTTACTTTCTGACTGCCCATCACATTTCTTGAGGTGCTAAAATTCCAGGGCAGTTCAAAGACCCCCAAATAACCCTTTTTTGGAAAGTAGGCACCCCAAAGAATTTGCTGAGAGACATGTTGAGTCAATGGAAAATTGTATTTTTTTTACCACAAATTTTGGGGAAATTACATTTTTTTTTTTTTACACAAAGTTGTCACTTAAATGATATATTGCTCACACATGTCATGGGTATATGTGGAATTACACCCCAAAATATATTCTGGTGTCATTCTGGGGATACCAGGTGTTCAAGACTTTTTGGGAGCATTGCCGTGTACAGTAGCCTGCAATCCAATGAGTCCTTTGAAAGCCTAAAGGTGCATAATTTCCTCATTTCACTTCCTCTCTACCTACACTATATTGCCAAAAGTATTGGGACACCCCTCCAAATCATTAAGGTCAGGTGTTCCAATCACCTCCATGGCCACAGGTGTATATAAATCAAGTACCTAGGCATGCAGACTGCTTCTACAAACATTTGTGAAAGAATGGGTCGCTCTCAGGAGCTCAGTGAATTCAAGCGTGGTACCGCGATACTGTTGCCACGTGTGCAATAAGTCCATCCGTGAAATTTCCTTGTTACTAAATATTCCATAGTCAACTGTTAGTGGTATTATAACAAAGTGGAAGCAACTGGAAACAACTTCAACTCAGCCGCAAAGTGGTAGGCCATGTAAAATGACAGAGCGGAGTCAGTGCATGCTGAAGTGCGCAGAAGTTGGCAACTGTCTGCAGAGTCAATAGCTAAAGACCTCCAAACTTCGTGTATCTTTCAGAATAGCACAACAGTGTATAGAGAGTGTCATGGAATGGGTTTCCATGGGCAAGCAGCTGCATCCAAGCCTTACATTACCAAGTGCAATGCAAAGCGTTGGATGCAGTGGTGTAAAGCACGCCGCCACTGGACTTTAGAGCAGTGGAGACATGTTCTCAGGAGTGACAAATCACGTTTCTCTGTCTGGTAATCTGATGGATGTGTCTGAGTTTGCAGGTTTCCAGGTGAACGGTATTTGCCTGACTGCATTATACCAAGTGTAAAGTTTGATGGAGGGGGGATCATGGTGTGGGGTTGTTTTTCAGGGGTTGGTCTTGGCCCCTTAGTTCCAGTGAAGGGAACTCTTAAGGCATCAGCATACCAAGACATTTTGGACAATTTTATGCTCCCAACTTTATGGGAACAGTTTGCGCATGGCCCCTTCTTGTCCAACATGACTGCACAGTAGTGTACAAAGAAAGGTCCATAAAAACGTGGATGAGCGAGTTTGGGGTGTAGGAACTTGACTGGCCTGCACAAAGTCTTGACCTCAATCCAATAGAACACCTTTGGGATGAATTAGAGCCAGGCCTTTGGGATGAATTAGAGCCAGGCCTTCTCTTCCGACATCCGTGCCTGACCTCACAAATGTACTTCTGGAAGAATGGCCAAACCTTTCCATAGACACACTCCTCTTATGGACAGCCTTCCCAAAAAGATGGGCCAACCCAATATTAAACTCTACGGAGTAAGACTGGGATGCCATTAAAGTTCATGTACGTGTAAAGCCATGCGTCCCAATACTTTTGGCAATGTAGTGTACATTTTTTTTTTTTTTGTTCAGCCCGTGGACTGAATGAAAAAAAAAAGAACAGATTCCTCCATTCACATCGATCGATGTGGATGAAGAAATCTCTGCACAAAAAAAAAAAATATTAAAAAATATATGCCAAAGCATAGGAGTGATCCACCCACTGATAACCCCAGGCCCCCATGCTTGGGCATATATGTTCTTTTTTTAAACTGTGGATGAGAATGAATGTTGTTCCTGCAAAAAAAACAACAATGGTTAACAATAAAACACAGTAACAACAGAACATTAACTGAATAAAACGACAACTATTTTTGGCTTGTTTATTTATTTTTGGGGGTTTCTTTTACTTTTTTAAATTTACTTTAACTTTTTTCTTTTTTTTTTAAAACCATAAACTTTCCAGATTTTAGGGTCTCTCAAAATTCCTGACTACCCAACATCTTTGGAGCCCCTTTGTAAATCCTGGACTGTGCCAGGCTATATCCTATATTAATTCTCCACTAGTGTGGAGTATTAGTCCTTGAGGTTAAAAAGCAGTCCTTGAGGCAGAGACCAGGTTGGCCAGGACAGGAGGGACAAAAAAAGCAGGTATTGTGTCTAATTCCATGTCTGCTACAGACATGACATCTTTTTTGGGGTGACTTTAGGGTTGGAGTACCAGGAATGGCATCAGGAAAATGCCTCTCCTGCAGCCAACTCAATGCATCTGGGTTGGGGGGGGGGGGGGTTTGGGCCACAGCACCTTCTGGATACAAAAGGGACGTGATTATCTCTTCCTGAAATTTTAGGAAGGATATACTTTGTCCCTCTTTGTCCAGTTGCTTTGTAAAGTACAAAAGTGTTGTACAGAGCAAATTGAAATAAATTTAGACACTTTTTTGTACCAGCATCTGGCTTCACGGGATACTAAGTACAGCTTCATCATCTGCTCATCCACCCCTCCCATGTTAGGGTTATAGTTGTTGATACAGAGGGGTTTCTCAACAACACCAGCTGCCATGGAAGTTTGGACTGTCGTGTCTGTGTGAATGGAAGACAGGATGAAAATATCCAATTTTTCCTTCCACTTCATTGCAAGCAATTCATCTTTTTGCAAGCAGGCTTTTCTTTCCTTTCTAAGTTGGGTATTTACAAGTCGTTGGGGGAAGCCCCGGCGATTAAGTCGCATGGTGCCACAATAGCCAATTCCATGATTGTACAAATGTTTGGCCGCCTCTCGCCTGCCATATAAGGAAATGACGGGCGGTGGTTCTTTCGTTCTGGGAGGACGCCATATGGCGGTGGTGCGCTGTGTCCCTGGAACACAGCGGATCAGTGGAAAGAGCCGATGACTTTGGTTCTGTTATGTGATCAGCTGTGTCCAATTACAGCTGATCGCATGTAAATAAGGAAATGCCGGTTATCAGCATTTCTCTCCTCACAAGATGTCACGTTGACAGCTCGTGAGGAGAGGAGAGCCGGTAATTGGCATTCCTCAGAGGGGACATCTACACTGATCATTAGGGTACTTTGACAGGTGGCACTGATGGGGCTACACTGATCATCAGTGCACTGATCATGTGTCCATCAATGCCACCTGTCAGTGCCCACCTATCAGTGCCAGTCAGTGCTCATCAGTGATGTCTGTCAATTCCCACCAGTGATGCCTGTCAATGCCCATCAGTGCCACCTATCAGTGCCTCATCATCAGTGCCCATCAGTGCTGCCTATCAGTGCAGTCTGTCATTGCCCATCACTGCAGCCTCATTAGTGCACATCAGTGAAGGAGAAAAATTACTAATTTACAAAATTTTATAACAGAAACTAAGAAAAAAAACTTTTTTTCAAAATTTTCAGTAGTTTTTGGTTTGTTTAGCAAATATAAAATACCCAGTGGTGATTAAATACAACTAACAGAAATCTTGATCTGTCTCAAAAAAATGATAAAAATGTCATATGTGTACAATGTTTCATGACCGCGCAGTTGTCATTCAAAGTGCGACAGTGCTGAAAGCTGAAATGACGGGCGGTGGTTCTCTCGTTTTGGGAGGATGTCATATGGCGGTGGTGCGCTGGGCCTGGGCAGGAAGGGGGTGAAAGTGCCCGGTAGAAAAGTGATTAAATAGTGGCACACTTGTACAAAATTTGTCCACATATAAGTGGTACCCCCATATGGAAAAAGTGTGACACCAAGTCCCAAACTATCTTGCCACTGCTCCCCATGTAGTCTGAGCATCCGGGGGGCTCCACGTGACTATCTTTTTCCCTCATAAATCCAAAAATGATATCTATAACCTGTTGCCCTCTCACAGTTGTAATACATTTTGACCCCATATCTGGCACACTTGCTGGGGAGAAAACTGTTCGAATGCAAGGCGGCCAGAAAAATTAATGAGGGACTCATCAGTGCAGATGTTTTGCTAGGTCGCATTCACATCTGCAAATTTCTGGTTAAGGTGATTTATGAGGGGCCGAATTTTGAGGAGCCTATTATATTCAGGGTCACCCCGAGGACGACAAAGTGTATTGTCATAAAATGCATAAATCGCATTATATTCTCATACCTATGCCTGGCCATGGCAGCAGAGAACACGGCATATGATGAATCGGGTCTGTGGATCAATATGACTGCAACTCATTCTTTTTAGTAATGCCAATTTTGAGGGTTAGGCCCAAAAAACTTTAAATTGGGAAACCGTAATAGGTTTCCATGCAAATGGTCTGGCGAGATTTGAATTTGAATCTATAGTGCAATGTGACTTCTGCGCTATCCAATATATTTAAAGTGTAAATGTGCTAGAAAACTGGTGAAAAACTCGTGATCAGGTGCAGCTCACATCAATGTGCGTTTCCACACTTACAAATAAAATTAAACAGATAAATTCCACTCCCTCTTCACGTTTAAACTAAATCATAATAAATGCATGTAACAAACGCATGTGCTAATATATTCAATGGAAATACAACCCCAAGTGTTATATAATACAATAAATAGTAATAAATAAGTGACAGTAAAGCAAATAGTTAAATTTAATCAATCTGTGACAGTCCAAACAAATCCTAATTGGTGCAGTACATGCATCTTCTTCCCATATGTGATTAATTGAATCTATATTAACCATCTTCATGCAAACGCGACTCCCATCACCTGAATGATACTGCGCTCACCTCTGTAATTAGATGCAAGAACATACGTTATTAGGTCTAGATGCACTTTTCCCTTAAGAGATAAATATCAAGGTAAATGGTCTCTCCTTGGGAAAGTGGACAATCTTTTCCTCCCTGGACTTATAGACACTCACTCTTCCTTTCTCCTCCATTATGCAAATGCTCAGATAAACACAGAACAGCCTCTTAGAATAGAATACTTAGAATCAAGCAATTTATTAAAAGTATTGCACTTACATAAAATCTGAGGTCAAAGCTCCTTTTTAAAACAAAGCTCCTTTTAAAACAAAACTGTGTATACAACCATGATTCAGTACTGAATCGTGGTTGTACACACAGCTTTGGGCTCAGATTTTTTGTAAGTGCAATATGTTTTAATAAATTTTTAATCAAAACCAAGTGTATCAAATAGTGAAATACACAATATTGTGCTAGATGCAAAAATAAATTATGAAAACAATTTAAAATTAAAATACATAACATCCCTTGCTGCCACTATATAAATAAATCAAATAAAAATTAAAACCCACAGTGATAGTGTAAAAGGGGCGCACACACTTAACAGTGATAAGCTAATAATAAAACAAATTACCATATATTCCAAAAAATTTAAACAACCAAAAAAATCTCATATCAAAAAAAAGTTATTAATATGTGAAAAAATTAAGTGGGAAAATAAATAAATGAATGTGAATCCAAATCAAACATCACATATTTAAATCCACCATGTGATGAAAAAAAACATCCAGTGAAAACAGAATATCCAGTGATAACAAAACACTGTGGTCACAGTGCACCCCCACACAGGGTGTGCACTTACCAATGCTCTATTGTCCTCTGCTTTGGTAGGTGAGAATAAAGAAAGAGGGCTTTAACTGGTAAGCGATAATACAAGAGATGAAAGGAGTCCCCAATATCCACTTGTTCAGCCACCTGTGCACAAGGATCTCACAAGGTATCCGATGTCACTCCATGGGCAGCAATATCATGTAAACAGAAGAAGGAACAATACCTGCTCCAATGGTGTAGTACAAATATATTGAATGCTTTGTTGCTTTAAATGTTGCACTTACAATGTGTACAAAAAAATACATTTTATACAATATATAAAATCTACAGTTAAAGTTTAACTTGAAGTTGATCTCTTGACCACTACAAAGAAAAACAGCCTTGACAAGAGAAATAGAACCTAGTTTGAAGTAGTTAGCGTATAACAGGGGTTGCCAAACCTTTCAACCAAAGGGCCAGTATACTGTCCTTCAGACTTTAGGGGGTCAGATTATGGCCAGTGGGGGTAGAAAATGTCCTGGCCATAGCATCAGTGAGAATAAACATAGCCACAAGGTTTGTGGTCAGAAGGAGGAAGAATAGTGCTCCATCATTGGTATTAGTGGGAGGAATAGTGCCCCATCATTGGTGCCAGTGGGAGTAATAGTGCCCCATCATTCAACTAACACGTTCCTCCTGCTCTTTTTAGGAGTGATCAGTATATAATAAAACAACCAACACTCTATTTAATACCTTTACAAAACTGTGCAAAACAATAATGGTGCGCATAAAATACAAATATAATGAATGAATATAAAAACATGCAAAAACAATTCTATAGTGATAAATCAACACAAATCCCCAGGGTTACCCGGAATCATATTCCAATACACATACAATCCCCTACTAGTGTAGAAATACCAGTGAATAATCTACTAGAACAAAGTGACCAGTGTTAAAAAGCAATCAACAATACATTAAAAAATTATATATATAGTAAAAAGTAAACAAAAACTCTAAAATGTCCACAAAAATCTTACATGAGTCATGCTCCAAAAAATATATAAATATATTCCATGCAAGGTGATAAAGGTGAATGTGTATTCACA